ATTTTCTTTTGCATACTACAAAATGCATCACAAATGCAGAATATTCCAACAAAAAAAGCTCATAAGAAACAAATTCTTGTTTTCCCCCTTCCAAAACACAAAAGGGCTCAGTCCTACAGCCTTCAGATTTTCTTACTTCAAGATTTCTATGCAAGTTGAGTACATATAAACACTTCTAACTTAAAAACAAAAACAAGAAACACATTTTTTTTTCAGATTACAATGGCAGCAGACCTAATATAAGTACCTACTCTTCTGCAATGCACAGAGGTAGTTGCAAACAATGTGTCCACTAAAAGGGAACTCTATTTAATTCAATTCAGAATGTTTGCATGGCAATTTGTAATAGTTTATGTCCTGTGTAGTTAGCTTGATCCATGAAAAAACACCACAGAAACTATTTTGGTTTTTCTTTTAATTATGCTTTAAAGTCCAACTCTGGCTATAATGAAAATACAAATTTTCTTCAGAGAGTCTTTTCGAAGCTAGCATTTGTGGGTGGCAGGGAGAAAGAAAAAAAGGCTATTCTAAAGGCCCAATCCTGAATTTCTCTTAAACGTTAAATGCCTAATGAAATCGATTTGGGGTGCAAAAGGAATGAAGGATCAAGTTCCAAAGGGTGCACGGTGTAGGGGGGAAGATAGACAATGCTGGCATTCTTACATAAAAATATACATTTGGTTCAGTTAGAGAAGTAGTGCATTTTAAGAAACAGTCATTTCACCTGTTTGTCCTATAACATACAACTCTAAAGATAACAATCACTGTATGCAGGGGGGGAAAAGTATCTATCATGCATCAACAGAAGTCAGTTAACATTTTTGGTGTAACTATAGGATTGGAACCCTAGGTCTAGCTGCACTATAAAATAAGGCCAAACCTGCATGTAAATGGAAGTTCTGGGTGCCCAATGCATTTGACATTGAATCCCAAGTAAGCAAAGGCTTTTTGTAATGTATAGAAAACCCCTAACATATTTAACATTAAATTGTAACAAACTGAGAATTAGAAAATTCAATTAAGTCTATCACCAGTCACATATTTATACTTCAAATATAAGGATATGAATAGCAGAAACCCCAATTTATTGGATTCTGTCAGTATGTATCTCAACTACAACATTTAGCTTTTTTTACCCCAAAATAAAAAAAGCTCTTCTGCTACATATGTATTTTGATAATATAGTTTTTAAAATTAATCATTCACCAATTTTGCAGAAATATGATTTACGTAATAGGCTATAATCTAAACTTACGCAATTATGTACACAAGATGTTATTGTTTATTGAAAAGCAGTTACTGCAATTTACATTTTATATATATTTTAAGTCCCAACCCTAAAAAACACTTCAGCATGTGCCCAGCATTAGCCACATGAATAGTCCCACTAAAGTGAAAGCTTGAAGGATTGGGCCCTTAAATGTTCTTCCAACTAATATGTTGCAGTAATTGCTGCCTATTAGCTATTTATTTTTAATCATTGCAGAAAGTTAGGACATTATCAGGTCTACTTTAAAAAAAGTAATCTAGTCTGTCATTCTAGTAATACCTACTGAAGGTAATTTAGATGAACAGCACTTATCTTCACAAAGTCATATATTAAACTCATGGAGTATGATCATGCATAAATTGAGAATGTTACTGGTATCTTGGAACTGTTTGATATGCAAACTTCAATGCTTTCTCTGTTTTTCAAAATTATTTCTGGTTATTTTTCAAAACTTGGAAGAAATCAAGGTTATATATCAGTGAATGAATACATGAAACATATGCATTTACAGACAGGAACAGACAAAAAAATACTATATGTACAGAAAGAATCATCACCTAAATCTTTCAGAAAGCCACCTACTCTCCACTCTTGCTTAGTTAGCCAAATCATAAATAGTAAACTGAAATATTTGATTTTTTTTGGAGCTGTCTAGTACTGCAATTCAATAAATGTGTCCAATCCTATAGTACTTCTCAGGCAACATTCTCACTGAAGTCAATTAAAGTTTTTCCCCAAGTAAAGACTATAGAATCAAGACCTAAGATTTTTTCTGTTAAACAGTAGCCTGGTCCCATTCCAGTGAGTGAGTTTTGCTACTGACTTCACTCCTAGCACGGTTGGGCCCTATGTATCAAACATGTTTCCTAAAATTTGAAAAATGATATCAGTTAATTAGACTAGTTTAGGGTCAAATCAGTTAGTCTTTTTAATATCATTGATTCTCCAATGATTCTTTCATCCAGAACTCATGAATGCTGAGATATTCCCATAATACATGGAGTTGATTTACATTGAGTCTTCACAACCGTAATTTTCAATCCCTGCTGCTTTTAACATTCAGATTAATTTATTGCTGAATAAATCTTAGTCATAAAACAGTAGTTGATTTCACAATAGTCTTATTTCTCTTTGGATAATCTGAGTAATTGTAACAGATGACACGACCATGTTAAAAAACGGGAAGCTACTACAGAGATGAAAGAAGTATTGCATTTATTTTTTACATGACCATTAAACAAGTTTACATTTTCTAGTTTACTTTGAATATGCTTTGGGAACCAAGCTTCTTTACACTTTTGATGCTTTTCTACTACAGAGTGATGTTTTCATATTAAGCAGCATTTGTGAAATAATGTCCTTGGATGATGGCATTCAATTATTTATTTGTTCATATTTTACTTAGGAAGGCTTCAAACACTGGTAGATCCGTGCATACATGTGAATCTAATTGCAAGACCCTGGCCAAAATGATCAGACTAAGCTATTGGTTTGCTTGTCACTGACTACAGAAAAAAAAGTTGTGCATATTTCAACAATACATTACCATGGAAAAAAAAAACACTTACATTTATTTAGAAGTCCCAGGGTGTATTCTTGGCACCATTTACGTCAAAATGGCCACTGACTTCAGGATTTAACTCTCGGTTTCAGAATGGATTATTAAAGGAACGCAGCCAGGTAACTAAATGAGTTACACTATGGAAGGTTTTATTAATCATTATGATTATATTTCATATCTGCATCTTTTTGATATGCTGATTTTCTAGTTTTTTTTTATCCAGAACATCTAAAGCCAGCTAAATAAAGTACTCTTATAAGTTTTACATACTGTTTGCTAGCATGTGAATATGTGACTTTGGTACAACTTTTCGCTGTGATTTTGCAATTACTTACACAGACACCTACCTTGACTCATAGCAGTAGTACCACCAGAGGTCAATAGGACTACTTCAGTAAGTAAAGTTCAGCCCATGCACAAGTGTTTGGAGGACTGGGGCCTTACAATGCAAAGTTTTCATCCCCCAAGGGTTCCCAGTTCTTTACTATGAATCACAAATCATGAACAGGGTAATCCCCATCCTCTTCAAATACAGCCAGGCCAGCTAACACCCTAAATCATGCCCTATCCTTAACCCCCCCCTCCCAAAAACTGCTTTCCCCCACCAAGAAGCCCTGCAGCATGCCTTGAATTGAGTATCAACCAGGTCAGGCTACTTTAGACCAGAGGGGATGGCAAATTTCGATATAAGTGGGGTGGAAGGCATGCTTGCCCAGTAAAACCAATAAAAAACCGGTGATGAATTCAATAGTCTCATGAACAGATCTAATTAAGGACCAAATCTTGAAAGTTTTAGTTAGGCAAAACTCTCATTCCCATGTAACTAGCTATCAACGTTAGGCCCCGATCCTGCATGGAGATCCACGTGAGCACACTGCTGCGGTTTGGAAGTGAGCAGATTTCAGTGAGGGGCCACGCACGCACAGCGCTTTGCACGACCGGGCGGGCCTTTCTGCTAAAGCAGACTCACTGGGACTGGGAGAGGTATTGTTTATTGGATAGGTAACATTTCAAACCTTTTCACATCGATCAGAGTGCATTCCCCCCTCGCCAACTGCTTTCTCCACTTTGCAATTACTCTCCAGTCATTACTATCGTTTGAACTTAAACAACCCCAGCAAGATAAACTAGTGGACAATTTCCCGGGAAAATCAATCTAACTAAAAATTGGCCGACGCTCTTTCAGGAGCGTTGAAAACGAGTCAAGGAAGTCCAAAAGTAACCTCCACCCGGCGGCACGTTACATATTTCAGTCACATGCTACTGGGTGCAAGCTGGGTGCAGCCCCTCAGGTGGGGAGGCTCTCACAGCCAGGGATCGGGCAGCACGCCCGCCCAACCCAAACATACAAAAAAAAAAAAAAACCCCAAACAAACAACAAAAAACAGCCTTTCACAACGGCCTGATTACTAATGAATGGTTCTTTCCACGCGCCTTGCCAAGGTACATCCTTCTGCCTCTGCCCGCACTTTGGGATCCCGAAGGGCTGGGCGTGGAAGGCATGTGTGATCCCACCTCCTCTTCCACGGACCGGGACGAGCCACAGAAGCAGCGCCTCCAGCTGTCACTTCTGTTGGGGCTCTGGCCTTTGGAGTGCAGCGCTGCCTTTTCCCCCCTTCTCCGCCCCCGCAGCCGCGCTCTGACCGCAGGCTCTGGCTATCTCGGTGGACTCGCGGACGGATCCCTGACCGGGCAGGTTTCGGGGCGCGGGGCGCTTTTCTGCGCGGGGGGGGGGGGGGGAAGCGCGCTAACTTCGCCGTCCCACCTGCTCTGCGGCAGGGCGCCCGGGAGGGGAATCTCCTGCGCGAGCGCCTGCCCAGCCCCCGGCCGCGGTGCAGCCCTTGAGTCGGCAGCCTTGGCTGGAGAGCAGGGGCCACACGGGCAGAGCAGAAAGTGAAAGTAACTTGTGCACGCGGAAGTCCCATGGGAAAAGCAGAGCCCCGGGGAGCCAGCGCGTCTCCCCCAAGGAAGATGCGGCCAGAGGGCTGGTGAGTCAGGGAACTCCCGCTCCTTCGCACAGCAGCTCGTGGCGCAGCCCGGCCCGGCGGATTCTGCACTCCCAGAGCCTCCCCTCGCGCTCTGCACCAGCCTCGCACCATGCACCAGCCTCTGCCACCACCATGACCGAGAAGCCACCAGCGCAGCTCTCTCCACCTCCCCCTGCGGACAATGTTCCATGGTAAGGGACGCGCACGGGAGCCCCCCGAGCCGGCGACTCTTGCAGCCCTCCCGGCGCGCAGCCCTGTGGATTTTGCACCCCAGCCTGCAGAGCCCGCTACCTGCCGCCCGCAGCCCAAGCTGCCCCCTGCCCCGCGGCGCGCGCGTCTCACCCGGCTGCGCTGGCTCCCTGGCAGCTACCGCTCGCAATGGTGCAGCGGCGCCCGGGAAGGTGCTTTTATCCCCACTGCCCCGGCCGGGAATTTCCCAGCTTTTCAGAGCGAAAGTGGAAGCGCGCGGTTCCCAGCCAGGCCAGTGTCGGGAAATCAGGATTGCGCTGGTGGGAACTGCTGGGGTTGGGGAGCGGGCAAGGGAGCGCCGCCGCCGCCGCCCCTCTCAAGGCCGGTGCAAACACCTGCCCGCGGACGCCCCCCAGGGAAACCGGCTGCCCCCAGGCAGCGGCTGGCGTCCCGGGAGCGGGTCCGCTGACACCCGTTCCCCCCTCGGCTCCTGCAGGGAAGAGCCGCCCCTCCCCGCGGCGTGCGCCTTGCCCACGGCCTGCCGTGCCAAGCCAAGGGCAGGCAGGCACGCACGCTGCACCGAGCCCCGCACAAAGTTGAGGCAGGCACCAAACAGGTGCCTCTGAGGGTCCCCACGCGCCCAGCCAGGGGCTCCTCAGCCATAGGGTGACCAGCTGTCCCAACATTAGGGACGTTGTCTTATATAGGCAACTATCCCCGGAGGAAAAAAAGTATCCCGATTTTTCGCACTTGCTGTCTGGTCAGCCAAGGGGGGAGGGAGATGTATTAAGCCTCCTGGGTTTGCAGGCTCTGGCAGAATCCTGCTCTGGGGCAGGGGGCCTGCACAGGAATAAAAATTTGACTGCTTTTGGAAGGGCACTACCCCATGCGGCCAGAGGAGCTGCTTCCCTCCCTCCACTGTGCCCCCACTAATTAGGGGGGCTGTGCCCCTGCTTCCCCCCCTTGTTCATGCTCCTGCTTTGGGAAGCTGGGTGCAGGAAGGTAACACACTCTTCTCTCCTTCAGGCCAATGGGGCATTTCCATGGCTTGGGGGGCTGAAGGACACAGCCGACCCTGACTGCCCAGTGCTCTGAGCCACAGCAGGGAAAGCCCAGACTGGACCTACTGGTGCTTCTGAACAGCCTCTGGTGGAGGCTTTCGGAAGCATTGAAACCCTGCGAGGATGCTACAACCTGGTAGCTTTCCATTACTGTCACTTAATCCACAGATATTGCAAGGGTGTTGCTGAGGAAATAGAAGTGATCTCCTGCCCCTGGGTGGTATAACATTGATAGTGTGCCTGCCTGGCCCCTTTCTTGTACACTGAAGGGACTAAAGTTTGCTTTTTGTAAATACGGGCTTTTTCCTCTGCCTGGAACTCCCAGGAATGTTAACTCTTGCTGGCTGGGGATTTCAGGAAGTAGGAGTTATGAACTCATATACTTTCACTGGAAGAGCAGAATGTTCACTTTGTTAAAAGTTTCGTTTCCTTCAAAATAGCAATGAGTCATTGCAGATAAATAGATGTTCACTTTTTTTTTAATTATAAACAATCAGACTGAAAATCCTTTCCCTTCTCAATCGTCTGTCTCTTTCTTGGCTCTTGTTATGGTATCAGTATTATGGGTTCATTAGGACCTAATTTACTAATGTAAAAGAACACACACACGCCAACAAACCTTTCGGGCCTTCTTTATAGATCATAGAGAGGCAAAAAAAATTAATAGTAATGGCATAGGCCCAACTCTTTTTTCTTTGCAGGTTATCTTTAATCACAAACTGCTAGATTAAGTAGGTCTATGGCTACAGTGTTGTTGCCATATACTGATATCTATAAGGGCTCTGATTCATTCTTGTTTACTGTTACTGTTGGAATCTGTTGCACTAATGACAGACTTAGACCACTGTTATTTGTCTTTTGAAATATGAAACAACTGGGAAATTGTTAGTTATATTAGAGAAGATGGGGATTAGTATAAGAATTGTAAAGTGGATAAGGAACTGGTTAAAAGGGGAGAATGTAACAGATTGTGCCAAAAACGACTGGAGGTAGGTTACTAGTGGCATTCCTCAAGGATTGGTTTTAGGACTAATCTTACTCAATATTTTTAGTACTGACATTGGCACAGAAAGTAGGAGTATGCTAATGAAATTTGATGGGGGTACAAAGTTGGGAGGGACGGTCAGTACAGAGGAAGATCAGAATATTATACAGGAAGATTTGGATGACCTTGAAGACTAGAATAACAGAAATGGGATGGAATTCAATAGTACAAAGTGCAAGGGTCATATACCTAAGGTCTAATAATAATTTCTGCTACAAGCTGAGGTTTCATTAGTTGGAAGTGACAGAGGAGGAGAGAGACCTGGCTGTTTTCCTTGATCACAGGATGACTATGAGCCAGTAATGTGATGCAGCTGTGAAACAGGCAACTGCAATCCTTGGATATATTCTGGTAGAACTAGAGAAGTATAAGGTACTAGTAAGACCTCATTTGGAATTTGGTGTACAGTTCTTGTCATACATGTTCAAGAAAGTTGAATTTAAACTGGAATGGGTGCAGAGAAGATTTACTAGGATGAACAGGGAATGGAGGGTTTATCATATGAGAGAAGACTTGAAGAGCTTGACTCGTTTGACCTAGCAAAAAGAAGGCTGATTGCTCTCTATAAATACATTGAGGGGAGTGTGTGGGGGGGTAAACACTAGGGCAGGTAAAGAGCTATTTAGGACAGTGTTGGCACAAAAACAAATGGATATAAACTGGCCATGAACAAATTGAGGCTGGAAATTAGGAGAAGGTTTCTAACCATCAGAGGGATGAGGTTCTGGTTCTCCTATGGCCTCTCAGTAGGAGTTGTGGGGGCAAACAACTTAATTAGTTTGAAGAGAGAGCTGGACAATGTATGAGTGTGATTGTATGATGGGGTAGGGTTCAGCAGCCCTGGGGCTCACTTCCAGTTTGCTTCAGGGCTTCAGCTGGCCACCTGCAGGAAGGGATTCTCTCCCCCGCCCCCGATGCTGTGGTTTTTCATTCTGTTTTGGTCGCTTTCCTCTGAAGCAGGGATGGCCAACCTGAGCCTGAGAAGGAGCCAGAATTTACCAATGTACATTGCCAAAGAGCCACAGTAATACGTCAGCAGCTCCCCATCAGCTCCCCTCCACCCGCTCCCAGCGCCTCCCACCTACCGGCAGTCCCGCCGATCAGCGCCTCCCCCTCCCTCCCTGCACCTCCCAATCAGCTGTTTCGTGGCATGCAGGAGGCTTGGAGGGGGAAGAGTGAGGGCAGGGGAGGGGGCTGGAAGGGGTGGAGTGTGGGCAGGGCCTGTGGCAGAGCCAGGGGTTGAGCAGTGAGCACCCGCCAGCACATTGGAAAGTTGGTGCCTGTAGCTCCAGCCCCAGAGTTGGTGCCTATACAAGGAGCCACATATTAACTTCTGAAGAGCTGCATGTGGCTCTGGAGCCACAGGTTGGCAACCCCTGCTCTGAAGCATCAGAGATGGCCACAGCTGGAGATTGGACATTGGATGGAGTGGGCCAGGGCTCTGGGGTGGCACTGAGCATTCTGTTTTTTGGGTGCTTGCCTGGCTGGTTCTTGCTCATATGCTGAGAGTCTAACTGAATTTTTCCCCAGGTCAGATTGGTAGCAACCTTGTGTTTCCTTTGACTTCCTCTGCACAGTATGGGTGCCAGTCACTTGCCAGGATTATCTGGGTCCATCTCACTTAATCATTTCCCTACCATTACAGGGGCCTCTGCCATTGGTGCACCATAATCATCTAAATTCCTGGGGGCTGTAATACTTTAAACCCTACATTTAGAATAGGGTGTGGGGCAGTGTTGGTGGCCTGTGATATTCAGGAGATCAGACTAGATGATCTAGTGGTCCCTCTGGCCTTAAACTCTGTGACTCTGTAGAAGTCAGAGGTCTGAGTGCAGGATCAGGGACATATTAGGTGATACATAGATGGCAAATACAGCCTTAATAAATTATAGGCTTTTACAGCCTTACATTTACTATATTTATGTCTTTAATCTCAAGGGATTACAAAGCACTTTGGACCAGATTTTTAAAGTTAGTTAGGAGCCTAAAGATGCAGACAGGTGCCTAGGGCTAGCTCTACTGAGTAGACTTAGATTCAGTATTGCAATGCCTAACTTTTAGGCACCCTGCCAGTTAGTGTAATCCACAGGCCTAAATTAGGTGCCCAGGCTTCCTAGACAATGTGTGTTATATGTGCTCTTGTATATATGTTCTTAGGACCTGACTAGGTCAAGGAATGTGTAATGAGATATTGAGCCGTTCACCTTTATTTGACTTGTTTAAATCCAGCCCTGACTGTTAGTGGCCATAAATTATTTCCCTTGGATGGCTCTTCAATGACTTATGATTTTGGTGATGGGTGCCCTCGAAATTCCTAAAATAGGGATAAAGAATTTGCCTGTTACTCAAGCAAAACTCTAATTAAAAGTCAAAGGGAAATTTGCCTAAATAAAGACTGTGAAATTTGACTAACAGCGATGAAAAGAATTTCTCAGTTCAGTTTCTACAGGGTAGCTGTCTACCCCACGATCAACATTACCACAATTGACAACATCAGCAGAGAGGGATTGAGGGGGCATGAAGACTGAGCTATATTCTTATTCCTAGAGGTAATCCTTCCAAGACAGCATTAAGTCCATTGGTAGGGAGCTGTGGCGAAACGTATATTACAGAATAGCTGTTACATGTACATTGAATTTAGTTGGATTTCTGCATTGACTTCACTCAAAGCAGATTTGGCACATGGAAGCTATTTTAGTTTCTAGGACTGGCAGCCTGCATGACTCTTTGAGGGGCCCGACCTTCCCAACGGAGGGCAAATAGGACAGTGTCTTTCATGAGCACTAACTTTACTTTAACCCGCCCCAAATCCAAATATTTAAAAAGTAAAATTATACTTGCAAACTTGTATACTTCATCTGCTGTATACTGTAGTACTTCAGGATTTCTAACAATACACTAAAGGATATTATTGTCCCCTCAACATAATTAATGCTAACAAAAGTAATAACTAAGTTTATGTTAATACCCCTAGGGCAACATACTCTGAAAATGCATTTAAAAGATACCTTGTCAGAAAAGTATGTTTAAAGGCATTTTCACATTTCATACCCAAAATGGACTGTAATGTACCAGTTATTTGGTAGAGTTGAACAATAAATCCCAGATAAGTTATTATAAGAGACTTCATTATATAACAGTTAATAGAGCATACTCTGTGGTATTAAATATATACTTGATTGATGTTGTTGTAATCTAGTTTTTTTTAGGTCTGTCTTTGGGATTCTGCCTCTGTTCATAGTTCTGTTGCCAGTAAATTCATCTACTTGTGTGATGGAAAATACAGCTGTAATACGTGAAAAGTATGAGAATATCCTAAGCCACGATATTGAATTGCTGGTAGGTAGTCATATTCTTTTGTTTTAAATTTTTTTTAAAAGTAAAGGTCTTCTTTTTGTGAATAATTTTAAGGTTAATTCATCCTAAATGTCACAATGAAAGGCACACATTAAAATGGGTGTGCAGTTTTTTTTTAGGGGACATAACGATGCAGCCTCTAATTTTGCACTCACACCTAGCTGTGAATGCAGTTATTTGCAGGTGCAAATGATATGACTCAGATGATTGTGTCCTTGCAACAGGTAGTTAGAGATATAAAATATTTAGGTCTAGATTGTGTAACACCTAATCCCATTGGAGAGCACTTACACAGTAGTTGTGGTGAAGTCACTGAGACTACTTGTGTTTGTAAATGCTATTCAATATGAGTAGAAGCTACATAATCTGACCCATAATTTGCATCTCTTTATAACTTTGCCTGAAGTTTTATGCCCTCTGTTGAATATATGCACAAACCAGAGTCAGCATTTAAAAAACTGGTCCTCAGTCTTGATCTCTACCTCTCATTGCTGACAATGATCCAAACTGGAAATAATCACCATATTTGAAATCCATATGAAAGGCCAGTTAAGGGGAAAACTGACATACCCAGACCATTAATGAAGTATTTTATATCTTTGTGCCAGCACATTAAATAGAATGCTTAAGTCAACAGCTCTCTACATCAAGTGAATCATTCCTAGTCGTTAGAATTCCACAGGAGACTAGGAAAAAATGAAAGTATTTGCTATTTAATTTTTATTTAAGGAGCTGTGAATTTAGTGCTCATGAAAAGTATGGGATTGTGAATATTGAAATCTGAAGTCCTCACAGAATAGGGGTAGCACCAGCACCTATTATGCTGATTCCCTCGTTTCCCAGCCAATGTGTGTTACCCCAGCTCTGGAGAAGTTAGTTCAGTCTCCATGTCTAATCAGTGCTTCTCTGTCTGCTTAAATTACCTGAAAGAACTGTTAGTAATACTGTTTGTATGGTAGAAGGTGTCCACTAGCCTCTTGCCTGAGATCACATAGTGATAGTAAATAACTTTCAGTTACTACAAAACCTGTGTTCTGGTTTGAACCTGGAACCTAGAGGCAGAAGGATCTTTACCCCATTACACTCACCGAGCCACCATAATTAATAGTTCTGATAAGTACCACGCTGCTGCAGTGTGTGTAAGACAGTTACTTTTCTTTTAGTTACTAATTTCTGTCTAGTCTGACTCAGAGCAGGATTTGCAAGGTTATGCTCAAGGCTAAATTTGATCTAGATTTCTATAAGTGCAGTGGTTCACAGAGCAAAAATATTAAAGAATAAAATAAAAACTTTGATGACTGTCAATAAGCAATGTCACCACACAGAGAGAATAATGTTGATTTCTCCCCCAAACTATGGTATGTGTTTCTTAAATTCTCAAGAACCAAGGTTCCCATGATCATTCCCCCCAAATTATGGGTGAATTTAAAAGAATGGCAAGAGTAAAATATGATTTCTATTAGAGGTTATGTGTGGCAATGCTCATTGTGATTTTGCTCCATATCTGGTGACTGCAGACATTAACTACAGGCAGCTAGTGGGAATATCCTGGCCCCCTTGAAGTCTAGGGGAGTTTTGCCATGGACTCCAATGGGGCTAGGGTTTCATTCACTGTCTTTTTGTCCCACCCAGTGAGCTACCTACCTACCAACCAGAGTGATTATTGTGAAGCTATTTGAAAAGTCAGGCGGAGCTGCTGACTGACTGGCCCTTGTGTCTGGAATGGAATTTCAGCACTTCAGCAAACAAACAGCTGTTTGATGCTCTCTTAATTGTTTTATGTCTTTGAATATTTGACTCTTTAGGGCTTTGTGTTGAGTCACTACCTCCCTGTTTACACGATCTACTGTTTCCAAAGTTTGAAGTCAGTTTTGTTCAGATGTGCTTCTGAAACACTGACAAAGTTGGAACAAAAATACAAAGGGAAACCCAAAGGATAGAGATGACTAAACCTTTCTTGTATTTTTTAAAATATAGGATGACATAATATTGATATGAATTAATACATTTCTTCTGCAAGGTTCAGAGAGACTTTTGAGGGGGGTTGGAAAGAAGAGAGGGAGAGAATGTGTTTCCATGGGGATCAAGAGGTTATTACAAGCGTCTGGGTGACATAAAGAAAGGTGTGGAAGAAGGAAACAAAGGGGAAAAAATGGTGGAGCAAAGGGGCAAGACTTACAGCTGAAGACATTTGGGGATTTAGACATAACTTTTATTCATGTTAATAGAAGATGCATGCCAAAATCCCATTAGATGCCTTGGAAAATCTCAATTTATGTATATTTCTTAAGAGAATAAACTTTAAACAAAAACAAAACAAAAAAACGCTGTTAAGAATCAAGTAATTAAGTGGAGTCTGTAGTTTCAAAATTATAAATAGCTACCCTTGCAAACTATAGCTAAATTATTTCCTCCTTAGCTTACTTGCCACAAAAAAATTCAGCATTCTCTATTTCCACTGCTACTCTTGATGCCATCCTAAAAAGCAGTGTAAGGAGTTAAGCTCATCAACTGTTGAAAGAGAAACCAAGCCAACTTGATTAGAACACCGTAACATTATTTAACATATGATCTATTATAGGAAAATATGTCTGAAGAGTATCGTGACAGGTGCTGCAGGAATAAAAGACATGAAAACCCCAGTGCGTTTTTCTGCAATGATACTCAGGTAAAAGACAACTTCTTTTTTGAATGATTGCACGTCGGTTGCAATGTAGGTGTTTGCGCGCCCTGAGCACAGTTACCAGAAAATACGCCCTCCGTGGTATCTGTCAAGTCGGCTCTGGTGTCCTTTGGTGCTACACGTCCATAGCGTTGGTATGTAGGGCACTGCTGACCATGTCCTCCCAGTTCCTTCTTACCACCCATGATGGTCGCTGGAAATGCTCTATCCTTCTCTTGCAAGTCTTCCTCAGTGGACTTTGTTTTCTTTCTTTCTGTACATATAGTTTTGTTCATAGTTGGTTACATTTCTCTTGTAGTTGTTAGAGTTAGTTTCCTCCGCTCCCAGTACTGAGGCATGCCTTGGTGGCTGAGCTTCAAGCCTTGTCGCTCCTGCAGCAAGGCTATGCCTCTGGGCTACCCACATTCCAGTTGCCTTAAGTGCATAGGGGAAGCTTACGTTTGGGAGTGCTGCAAGAGTTGCAGGGACTTCAAGCCCTGTATCAAAAATGACCAGGATGCTAGGCTGAAGTCCATCTTAATAGAAGTAGTGCTTGGACCTCTATTGGAGCCAGGCCATTGAAACTCTGCACCAAGCACCTTGGTGTCACAGAGGAGCACTCCTGCCGCTGTCTGGGCACCTCAGCACCATTCAGCATCTCCAGTGCTGAGGAAAAAACAGAAGAAAATGCCAGTCAAGAGAGGACATTCCCCGACCCCTAGGATGGCCAGGCATGGAGACCAGAACAGAGTGCGACCCGCATTGGGCCACTCCACAGCCTTTGGTACTGTATAAAGGGAAGCTGGCTGTGATGGCCCAGTTCCAGTGTTCCCTGCCTTGACACTGTTCACTGGCACCTATGGGAACCGCTCCTCCGTGGTCTCTGGACAGAGACTTCTTGTCCTCGGAGGTGGAGTTGTATATCTCCCACAGGAGCCAGCCCCAACAGGCAAGTCGGCACTATCCTGCAATGGACCTGGGCCAGACCATACCGTCCACTGCTTGGCCTGCTGGCTAGTGGCAGGTGCCTGCACAGTGGTCCTTCTAGAACCTGTGGGCATTTCCCTTTATGCAGGATCCTCGATGGAGATACTCATACTCGGTGGCCTGCGAGGGAAGAGTGCTGCCACTTCTTCAAGCAGAGCCTGATCCAGGCTCTAGTACCGAGTACCAGGAGCCAATGTCACGGGACCTGGCCGGTGCCAGAAGCAAGGAGTATTAGTGCTCCCTGCCAGTGCAAGCTTCCTCCTCCTATTCTCCTGATGAGGCCATGACAGGAGCTGACATGTCACCCTCTCACGATGACTATAAGGCCCATTAGGAGCTTCTTAAGAGAGTGGCCCAAAACCTGGGCATTCAGGTGGAGGGGGTTCAGGAGTCCTCTCACTCTTTGGTGGACATCTTGTGACCCTTACCCTCAGTGAAGCCATCATGGACCCAATAAAAACCCTACGGTAAACCCTGGTGTCCCTACCTCCCACGGCCAAGAAGAAGTACTTTGTCCTGGCTAGAGAATATGAGTTTTTGTATCCTCATCCCACCCTCACACCCACCGGATACCTGGTGGTTCCGCTGCCGATGAGCGAGAGTGACAGGGGTTACAAGGGGAGATCCCGAAAGCAAAAGACGCAAAAAAGCTAGACCTGTTTGGGAGGAAGGTCTACTCAACTGGCGGTTTGCAGCTCAGGATCACTAATCAAATGCGCTCCTGAGCAGATGTGACTAACACTTAGGACTCCTTGTTAAAGTTTAAGGACTCAATGCCCCAAGAGGCCAAATGGGAATTCTCCTCTTTGGTGGAGGAAGGGAAGTCTGTAGCAAGGGCTTCCCTACAAGTGGCCCAGGATGCTGAGGATTCAGAGACCAGGTCCATGGCCTCCACGGTGGTCATGTGTAGGAGTTCCTGGCTCCAAGTCTCAGGCCTCCCACATGAGGTTCTGCAGACCCTCCAGGACCTTCCCTTTGAGGGCACTTCACTCTTCTCAGCAGACAGACATCAAGCTTCATGACCTCAAGGACTCCAGGGATAATCTGAAGTCCCTGGGCTTCTACACCCCAGTGTCTTTGAGAAGCATTATAGGCCCCAACATTCCTCCTGGTTCTTCCCTCTGCCAGCCCGGCAGGACTCTCAGAGAAAGAGGAGTAAAGGCTTCAGGCAGAGGCCTTCACCCCAGTCCTCCTCAACATCAATGCTCGCTGCTCCCAGATATTCAGGGGGCTCTAAGTAGGCCTTTTGATGTGGCACTTGAGGACGCCATACCAGTCACACAAACTTTGGATCCAACCTACCCTTTGTTTGTGGACCGCTTGTCCCACTTCCTTCGGGCAGTGGTCCCATATTACTACAAACCATTGGGTACTGAGCACAATAGAAGTGGGATATACTCTTCAATTCAGTTCTTCCATCCCACCTCACCCCTCTCCCCATCCCTCTTCAGGGACTCCTCTCACAAGCAACTTCTGGACCAAGAGGTGCAGTTGCTCCTACAGGTGGGAGCCATGGAAGAGGTTCCACAGAATTTAAGGGGTTGCAGGTTCTACTCACAGCTTTTGGGATTAGGAAAAAACAAGGGGGGGGGTCTCAGACCTATCCTGGACCTGCGCCAGCTTAACAGTTATCTCAAGAAGCTAAAGTTCTGCATGGTCTCCTTGGAGTCCATCATTACCTCCCTGGATCTAGGGGACTAGTACATCGCCTTTGATTTGAGAGATGCCTATTTTCACACACCAATTTTTCAGGGACACAGGAGGTTCCTCAGATTGATAGTGGATCATGTGCATTACCCATTTGCAGTTCTCCCATTCAGCCTGTCAACTACCCCACAAGTGTTTACAAAGTGCATGGCAGTAGTAGCAGTCTTCTTGAGGAGCCAACGGGTGCAGGTGTATCTTTAGCTCAATGATTGGCTGGTCAGAGGCCAAACCAGGGCTCAGAAGGAGTCCAGCATCCACCTCATCCAGTTGACTTTCCAGGACACAGAAATCCACCCTTACCCCAGTTTAGAGGATAGACTTTATCTGAGCTGTGCTTAACTCTGTCCAGGCCAGAGCCTTCCTCCCAGAAAGGTGTTTTCAAGCAGTCATGGAGTTCATAGCATGCCTCAAGGATCGCCCAATGACAATGGCCCAGAGTTGTCTGAGACTCTTGGGTCATATGGCCACATGTACTTACGTAGTGCATATGTGAGACTACACCTCAGACCTCTCCCAACATAGCTGGCCTCGGTGTACTCGCCAAACTGCCCTCATCTGGATATGGTCCTTATGATTCCTTGCCTGGTTCTCAACTCACTCGATTGGTGGCAGGACCCACTGGCGGTTTGCAAGGGCATCCCATTTTCATGGCCCCATCCATCACTCTCCCTGGCCACAGATGCATCAGCACTGGGCTGGGGAACTCACTTGGGTCCCCTCAGAACTCAAGGCCTGTGGTCCCCGGAAGAGCTCTTTCTAGACATCAACATCAGGAGCTCAGGGCAGTCCTCCTGGCTTGTCAGGCATTCCTGCCTCATGTTAAAGGTAAAAATGTGTTGGTTCTAACAGACAACATGGTGGGCATGTTCTCTGTGTTGGGAGGCAGTTCGGTTATGGGATTTTTGCATAACCTACTCGATTCACCTTGAGGCCTCCTACCTACCAGGAGCACAAAATGAGCTGATAGATCAGCTCAACAGATCCTTGTCCAATCACCATGAGTGATCTCTTGCCTAGATGTCATGAAGGTCATTTTCCAGCAGCGGGGGACTCCCCAGGTAGATCTGTTTGCTACAAAGCACAACAGGAAGTGGCACCAGTTCTGCTCCCTTTTGAGTCACAGCCCTGAGTCACTTTCAGATGCTTTCCTTCTTCCATGGACAGGTCACCTGTTCTATGCTTTCCCTCCTATTCCACTTGTGCACAAGGTCCTGTTGAAGATCAAACAGGACCAAGTGCAGGTCATTCTGATAGCTCTGGCTTGGCCCTGCCCGCACTGGTTCACCTCTCTGCTGGACCTCTCAGTGGCGTCACCAATCCCACTACTTCTACATCCAGACCTGATCTCTCAGGAACACGGTCATCTGCTCCCCCCGAACTTTGGGTCCCTCCACCTGATGGCCTGAAAGGTCCATGGCTAAACCCCACAGAACTAGCCTGCTCGGAGCAGGTCCTTGAGGTTGTACTAGGAATCAGAAAACCTTCCAACAGGGTGACTTACCTAGCAGAATGGAAGTGGTTTGCTATCTATTCTTCCCAGAACGGTGTCTCACCTATGCGATGGTCACTGCTGTTCATTCTAGTGTACTTACTGCACTTGAAACTGCAGTCGATTAGAGTTTAAACGTGGCGTCGATTAGAGTCCACCTGGCAGCAATCTCTGCTTTTCACCCTTGGATGACTGATCCATCTTTCTAACCATTTCCTTAAGGGCTTTGAGAGGTTGTACCCTCAGGTGCAACAGCCAGTCCCCCTTCCCCCGGGACCTCAACCTTGTCTTATAAAAGCTTACAGGTCCCCCATTCAAGCCACTGGCAACTTGCTCGTTACTGTACCTCTCCTGGAAGGTGACCTTCTTAGTGGCCATTACTTCAGCCAGAAGAGTTTCAGAGATCCGTGCCCTCACTTTGGAGCCACTGTACACGGTGTTCTTTAAGGATAAGGTGTAGTTGTGTCCTCACCCTGCTTTCCTTCCAAAAGGTGGTCTCCCAGTTCCTTAGCAATCAAGCTATCTTCCTACTGGTTTTCTATCCGAAGCCACATACAACAGGGAAGAGCAAAGGCCCCACTCGTTAGATATGCACTGGCTTTCTACATAGAAAGGACCAAACAGCTTCGGAAATCCATGCAGGTGTTTGTAGCGGTTGCAAACAGGATGAAAGGTCTCTCCATCAGAGCTCAGGTAATTTCATCATGGATCATGTCATGTGTTCGCATATGTTACAAACTAGCGGGTGTTCCCACCCTGACCGCTCATTCAACAAGGACACAAAGCGTCTTCAGCAGTGTTTTGAGCCCAGGTCCTTATTCAGGACATTTGTAGCGCAGCAACTTGGTTGTCAGTGCACACATTTGCTTCTCATTATGCCATCACTCAGCAGGCTAGGGACAGTGCTGGATTTGACCAAGCTGTGTTGCAGTCAGCATGTCAGTAAACTCCGAGCCCTCCACCTACAGAAGAACTTAAGAAAGCCCAGTATCCTGTCTTCTGACAGTGGCCAATGCCAGGTCCCCCGGGGGAATGAACAGAACAGGTAATCATCAAGCGATCCATTCCCTGTCGCCCATTCCCAGCTTCTGGCAAACAGAGGCTAGGGACACCTGTACAACTGCTGGGGAGTCTCCTATGTTGGAATGAACATGTGCAATTACTCAAAAAAGAAAACCTTTCTGTAACTTGTTCAAGATATGTTGCACATGTCCATTCCAAGACCCACCCTCCTACCCATCTTATCGGAGTTGGCTGGAAAGAAGGAACTGAGGGGGCGTGGGGTTGGCAATGCCCTATATACCAATGCTATGGACACACGGCCCCAGAACACACCAGAGCCGACCCGATGGATACCTCTAAGGGAAAATTTTCTGGCAGCTGTGCTCGGGGCACACACACATACAATAGAATGGACATGTGCAACACATCTCGAAGAACAGTTACAGAAAGGTTAGTACACTTTTTTTTTTCCAGAGTTTACTTGCACTCGTGTGTTGTAGATTTCTTTTCTGTATAATCCAATCTCTGTGTAACAAATTCTGCTAATGGGTACTGTTATGTTGTAATCACAGCAAGTCCTGGTATTCAGAATTCGTATTATAGAACTGTTCATTTTAAAACTTGACAATGGTTAGACTGCTGGTGTGCTGAGGCCACAGCCTATCATACTGACCAATATTGTCTCATTGTTTCCTTGTACTCCCCCCTCCCATCCCTGTCAGTCTGTCTCCATCAGTTTCTTATATTTAGATTATAAACTCTTTGGGGCAGAGACCATCTTTTTTTCCATGTTTGTACAGAGCCAAGCACAGTGGGCTCCTAAGACTGGCACTAGAAAAGGTTCAGAGAAGGGCAACTAAAATGATTAGGGGTTTGGAGAGGGTCCCATATGAGGAGAGATTAAAGAGGCTAGGACTTTTCAGCTTGGAAAAGAGGAGACTAAGGGGTATATAAAATTATGAGTGATGTGGAGAAAGTAGATAAGGAAAAGTTATTTACTTATTCCCATAATACAAGAACTAGGGGTCACCAAATGAAATTAATAGGCAGCAGGTTTAAAACAAATAAAAGAACGTTCTTCTTCACACAGCGCACAGTCAACTTGTGGAACTCCTTAACTGAGGAGGTTGTGAAGTCTAGGACTATAACAGCGTTTAAAAGAGAACTGGATAAATTCATGGAGGTTAAGTCCATTAATGGCTATTAGCCACGATGGGTAAGGAATGGTGTCCCTAGACTCTGTTTGTCAGAGGGTGGAGATGGATGGCAGGAGAGAGATCACTGTTAGGTTCACTCCCTCTGGGGCACCTGGCATTGGCCACTGTCGGTAGACAGGATACTGGGCTAGATGGACCTTTGGTCTGACCCAGTATGGCCGTTTTTATGTTCTTATGAGCTAATAAAATAATTTCCTTTTAATCTTTTCTGGGCCTAAAATTTATGCATACTGCACATAAGTATTTGATTTTTATTTGAAACTTTAAGTCGTAATTCTGTTTCCAAAGAAGCCAATATCTCATACTACAAAGATTATATTCATTTATTAAAACGTTGATTTTTTAAAATAGTTTAATTCAATATGGAATGAAGAACAGGATGCCTTCTTTGTGTCAGTTAGTTAACAAGTAAAAATTAATCTTTCAAATGCTTTGTTTTATTTTCCTACCAAAATTTTTTCTGTTACCAATACAACTAAACCTTCACTTCAGATATTGATCTTTAATTCTATGTATGTAAGACATCTTTTACAAAATAATCTGCACTTTCTAGTAAGAAGTATTTCTAAAATAATGTGGCAGACATTGTCCCCATGTAGAAGCCAAAGTTGTTGGGGGGGGGGGGTTGAATCTCATTACTATACATACTAATATTCATAAATTCACACATAGGTAGTTGTCATAACCACAGAATCACTTTTAAAAATTTGATATATTAGTTTGCTTTAGATAAGATCAAAACCCACCAGTGTCAGTTGTAATTGCAGACTGAATTCAACACATCTAGTAATGCTTCATACACTATAAGGGTCTGAAAATTTAGTCAGGTTAGTCACATGATATATTGGAAGAGAACAGCATAGCAGCTTCTAAACAAGCTAATGCCTACTGAAACAGCTTAAGACAGCCAACCATTATATAAAATCGAAGGGAACTCAAACTCAAGGCATCTTTTCTTTATTTATTTCTTCATAGGAAATATGGTCATTACAGAATATGGCATGTGACATGCTTAAGTTCTTTTATAAAAAAAAGATCAACAAAGATTTCAGATGGCAAACTGCTCGGGTTTCGTGTATGACATTAGAAATTCTACATTGCAGATGTGATAGAGAGCAAAAAAATAGAAAGGTAAGTTGTTGGAAGAGCCTACAAATTACCTTGCATATTTTTATATAAAGAAGGAAGTACATTGCTCTCTTAAGTCTCTTCAGAATAGAAGGTTACTACCATCAACCAAAATGAAACATTATAAAACTAACCCCATAGAGTATGCCCCTTGATACGGAGCTTAAGGCTCTGATGTAAAGCCCATTGACGACTATGGAAAGATTCTATGGTAAGCACTAACACTTTTCAAAATAAGTCCTCTAATAATATTTTTGAACCATAATTTTTCAGTTTCACCCTTTAATAGTACAGTAAAAGCTGAGCTGTCTGGCACTTTACCCACCGGAAAGCTCTATAAACCAGCATTTCTGATCTTCGTTGAAAATCCAGTTGGCACGGGGCCAGCAGGCTCCGTACCTGGCTCTGTGTGGCTCCCCGGAAGCGGTGACGTGATGTCCCTGCTGCTCCTAGGTGGAGGAATGGCCACAGGGGCTCCGTGCGCTGCCCCTGCTCTACCCGCTGGCTCCACAGCTCCCATTGGCTGGGAACCGCGGACAATAGGAGCTGCAGGGGCGGTGCCTGCGGGCGGAGGCAGCTCGGAGAGTCGCCCAGCCATGCCTCTGCCTAGGAGCAGCAGGGACATCATGTTGCCTCTTGCGGGGAGCCACCCCCAGGTGAGTGCCGGCCAGATCTGGCATCCTGAAGCCCCAACCCCCTACTCCGAGCTCCCTCCCGCACCCAAACTCCCTCCCAGAGCCCACCCCAATCCTCACCTGAGCCCCCTCTTGCACCCACACCCCTTCCCGAACCCCAGAGCCCCCTCCTGCACTCCAAACCCTTCATCTCTGGCCCCACCCCAGAGCCTGCACCCCTTCACACACTCAATTCTCAGCCCGGCTCTCCCTCCCGCACCCTGAATCCCTCATTTCTGGCCCCACCCTGGAGCCCACACCCCCAGCCCAGAGCCCATATCCCCTTCCACACCCCACACCCCTGCAATTGGTAAAGTATAACTCTTAGTTAACCGGCATATTTGATTAACTGGCACCCCCCCATTCACCCAACATGCCAGATAACAAAGCTTTTACTGTAATTGGATTTGGGTTTTTTATATGCATTAACTAACCAAGGATTAGGCAAGGTCAGTACTTGCATGTGAAACCTTCAAAGCACCGCTGGATGCTATAGGAAGATTTGTTGATAGTTCAGCAGGTGGCATGCTTCCTTCAAAGTCAAAACTGAGGCTAGGTCTACACTGGGGGGGGAAGGGTCAACCTAAGATACACTAGACACGATAAATCGATCACTACCCGCCGATCCTGGGGGTAGTGTAGACGTACCCTGAGTTTTCTGGTTTGGTATAAAGAGGCACTGTGCGCTAGTGGTATTGATTGGATTGTGATCACAAGTGACTAAGATTCTATGGCTTTATTGTGAGTAGCCCAGTGTTCTGGCTCAGTTAGGATAATTACATTTATTGATATATATTTGATTGTTTTATGTTTTAAAGTATTTCTCCGCAGAAAGGAACATAAGCTCATCTCGATTAACAATTTAAAAACTGTTCTTTTACAGGTTTGCATATTGCTTACACAACCCAGCAAAGACATACTAGGGGCACAAGGCCCCAAGAAAAAATGTTGCCAAGAATTATGTGAACTAAAGGAAACTATATCTAGTCTTCGATCCTGCTGGAATAAGTTTGAAAAAGAAATTGCTAGGTAAAAAACTTAAAATGCAGTCCTGTCTGTTTTTTCAACGTACCATTGCTTTGCACTTTACATGCATTCTTCAAGTATCTCTGGCTGCTTACATAAATACTTTTTGCCAAAGTTCTGATGAGAAGATCCAATACCTTGTTCCTGGGGACAAAGCCATTGGAAACCAACAAATTGAACTGCTAAAGTTCAAGAACTGGAAGCTAACAACACAATTGGAAGCAAAGACAAACAGAACAGAATGCTGTAGCCCCACCTTCACACAATGAAAAGTACTTATACTTTGTAGCTATCTACAAATACTTGGTCATGTTTTTTCAGTAACTTTATATGAGTTTAAGGTGAGGTGCCTACTGCAATAAATAATCTTGGAAACGGCAAAGAAAGCAACATGTCAGATTAATATGATGTTTTATATAACTACATCATGGATCAAAATTAACAGTTATGCTAGGTAAGAATGGCTCCTGAGCCAGTTCTGCTGATGCAATAATATTTGAAGTACTGGTATCTGATGGGATCTGCAAGCTGCTTTTAAGGCCAAAAAATGGAACCAGGTCTGTGCCAGAAAAAGCTAGGGGAATTAATTATTTTTACACAGCCTAGGAAGAGGTATCAGTTTTGGAGGGATCTAGCACAGATGCTGCTGAAGTAGCCAGAGGCAAGAGAGAGTAAGACCTGTGGATGGGGAAAAGGGTAGCTCCTGAACATGAGCAAGATCAGCTGACTAGAGAAAATATTAGCATTGTGGATTTGGTCATCACAGTTAGCTGTAGGAATAGTTAGAATAGCTTACATTAATTGTGATGACTTTAGTGTATATATTTTACATAGTGTATTTAACATAAAACAGACATGACTTAAGATATGTATGAGTATTTTCAGAGAATAATATATTGGCATTTTACTAATTATGTGTTCATATTTAATTTTTGATGAATTTATAAATATTTATTAGTTGCTTATACCTCACAATTTCTTACTTAGATATTACTACTCCTTTTGTAACAAAACCCACTTTTAATATATCTAACAAAATGGTGTCTCTTTTGGTATCATTTCTTCTGTTCTAGTTTTTGGTATATGAAAATATCATAGACAGAGCTGATAATGCCACCGTAGTTAAGATTAACTGACTGTCACATGTGCTCTACTCAGTGTTGTGTGGCACCTCCTGCTGGCGAGTAGCTCCGCCTTGTTCAGCGCCGCTTTTCTTCTCTTCCACCATTGCTGCTCTCCTCTCACTGATGGAGTCACATCATGGTTGCTTTGTGACTCAGCCCTCCAGCCAAGCCACACTGCGATTTCCCCTTCAGAGGGAGTCTTTCCAAGTCTCTGCACAAGCAGCGGCAGGCAGTCCTCATACCCACTACCCTGACTATGTCAGTCCTGCAGTGACTCAGGCAGTCTTCCCATTCAATGCCCCAAGCAACACCACTCTACAATGGATATTAGGGGAACCCTGGCCCACCCTGTATGCTGGGTTCGAGCCAAGGGCCTGTAGCAAGCAGTTAAGGTCTGCGGCTACATCATCCTTACTGCTCTCGCCCCTGGACTACTTCCTACTGTGCTTTTCCAAGCTTTTCATTCTCCAGCCTTCCTAGTCAGACCCCTTTCCCTTAGGCCTACTAAGTAAATCCTTTCTCAGAGGGTCCCTAACCCTCCCCCCCCCAACTTCATTTACCTCAGGGAGAGAGACTACAAGCTTCCTCCGTGCAGCCTCCCACACCGTTGTCAGCTTCCTGACTTTATAGAAGCCCCACCTATTCCCTTACAGGTGAGTTTCCTTTCAATTAGTGGCCTCCCCACAGCCTAAATCTCCCCCATTTGCAGCTTAACTGGTTGATTGGGCCCACTTCACCTAATTCAATTTCTTCAAGGTTGATGTAGGGTGCACACCCCATCACACACTTCCCACTATAAGATCCTGTTTTCAGTTGCTTATAACTTTTCCACGCTGTTCAGGCTGAAATTTTCAATGCCAGGGTGTCTACCTCAGGCTAATGTTTATTTATTGGAAGCTTGAGTTATTTCAAGTAACAAATTAGGGAAGCCTACATTGTTTTGCCCTTGTTAAAAAAAAATTCTTGCAACTTTTCCATTGAGAAACACTAGCATTCCATGCACCAGAGCAAGAATGTTAGGAACTGTTAGGAAAGGGATAGAAAATAAGACAAAATATCGTAATACCACTATATGACACATATATGCTGCAACTCATGGTGTGCCCACACATTGAATACTGTGTCCATTTCTGGTCACTCTATCCCATAAAGGATACAGTGGAACTGGAAAAGTTTCAGAGAAGGGCAACAAAGACGATCAAAGGTATGGAACAGCTTCCAGCTGAGGAGAGACTAAAAAGTGTAGGGCTGTTCACCCAACTAAGAGGAGATTTGATAGAGGTCTATAAAATCATGAATGGTGTAGAGAAAAGTATACTCTTCCGCAATACAAAAACCATGGGTCACCCAATGAAATTAATAAGAGCAGGTTTAATACAAACAAGAGGAAGTACTTTTTCACATAATGCACAATTGACCTGTGGCACTCATTGCCATGGGATGTTGTGATGGCTAACAGTATAACTGGGTTCAAAAAAGAAGCTGGAAGGGAAAGACAGGATGGATCACTCCAGCTGCCCTGTTCTGTACACTCCCCTTGAAGCTCTGATAGTGGCTACTCTCAGAGATAGGATACTGAGCTGGATGAATCATTGGTCTGACCCAGTATGGCAGCCCTTATGTTCTTAAGGGCTTGAAATTTGGCCAGGTGGTCACCCTGCTGTCAGAGTTGTGCCTTTTGCTATGCTTGTGAAAATTGGATCCAAGTTATAAGCCTCAAAACATTGCAGTTTACATATCCTAATTAGAGACTTGGCAGGTAAATTCTCAGAAGATTCAATCTACATTGAGCACACTCCAGCCCAGGAATGCAGGGACTGAGCACAACACCAATTCAGCCTTCTTACGCATAGGCATTATGATGATTCTTTAATTACATGATTAGACATTTTTCCACAGGACCCCTACCTCATTCAGTGCACAGGATAAACAGTGCTCTAGGAACAAATCAGAGTTGTGTAATGAAAGAGGCTGTTGTCTATAGGACCCCTGCCTCATTTGTTGCAGAAGTTGGAAGGTAAGTAGTGAAGGAGGCAGGTGACTGTAAGAAGAGAAAGGATAGTCTTATGGTAATGGAAGTTGAATGCCACCTTGGAGAAATGGATTCTGTTCCTGTTGTTGGGAAGTGTACCTTTAAGAGGGTTTGGCAAGAGCTAATTGGAGTCAGTTGTGTTATGCAGAGGCTCATGTGCAATGCTGGTCAGTTAGAAGTCAGGCACTGAATGAAGTGGAACACTGTCAGATTCCTTGGCTCTGAGTGATTTTCAATCTGAACACCACACCTGCCTCTGCCAGAGTTCCTGTGTGATACTGGACAAATCAGTAAACCAAAATTTTTACAGCTGGCCACTAGTTGTGTTTCTTGTTTTAAGGGTCCACCTGGGATCTGACTCGGAAAAGTGCTGGGCACTCATAATTGCAACTGCAGTAAGTTGAAGTTGTGCTTTGAACATGTAACGTGCTATAAAAATGCTAAATACTCTGAAAAATTAGACTCTGTCCCCCCCCAAATTGGGCATTAATGTATCTCAGTTATGCAGCTATAAAATGGGGATATAATATTATTACCAAATCTTACAGAAGAGATGTGAAGACAAATTGATTATTGTGTGCGAAGCACTCGGTTCCTATTGCAAGAGCACTATAGAAATGTCCCTGAAGAAGTGAGTAAAGCTGTATTCAGGGCAGCATTGGGATGGTGGCAGTAAAATAAGGTCTGGGGGCACCCTTTGAAATAGGCGGATAAACATAAAATATTGAAGAACTACTCATTCATTGATTAGCAGAGATCCCATGGAAAAAATAGTGTGTGATCATGTCATTAAAAACAAATAAAATGCATATGCATGCAGAATTAAAGATGCACATTCCAGAATTTCTTAACTTTTGAGTGCTTGCCTTCAGAATCTTAACCTTCCTTTAATGTAGGTTTTTTGGATGATCATTATGTAATAAAAATAACTCACCTTTAAAAATTATACAGGGCACAATATGTGACTAAGCTGGTACTTCCATAAAACTGCATGGGCCTGCACTGACTTTCAACTTTGGACTATTCTAATTGCTTTGTAAGATATTCCTACTCTTTCAGGGTTGCAGAGTGTCTAAGAAGGGATTCCATGGCGCCAGCTTCACCAAAGCATAATCTTTCCATCTGGCCAATGTATACAAAATACAGGCAACAATTGGCAACATTGCCTTCCTAGCCTATTGCAAGAAGTATGAATCATCATAGTGTTCGATAAATTAAGCTGTTGTAAACGGAAAACTATTTGGAAATCCAAACTTACATCTGAGTCATGCAGGAGAATTATCTCCTGTGTCCTACATAAGACATTCCTGTTAATATGCCTCCGAATGATAATAGCTTTTTAGCAACAACAGCATATTATTGACTCATTCAATTTATGATTCACTATAACCCCTGATCCTTTTCAGCAGTACTACTGCATAGAAAGTTGTTCCCCATTCTGTATATATGCTTTTGACTTTTCCATCCTTTCACTTAATTTAATTTCATCTTGTTGATTTTAGACCAAGTGTCTGATTTGTTAAAGTTGTTTTGTATTCTAATCCTCTCCTCCAAAGTCCTTACAACCCCTCCCAACTTGGTTTCATCTGCAGATTTTATAAGCATATTCTCCACTCCATTATCCAAGTCATTAATGAAAATATTGAATAGTATCAGACCCAGGACTGACCTGTGTGCGACCCGATTAGATACACCCTCCCAGTTTGACAATGAACCACTGATAAGCACTGAGTATATAGCATAATAATTTAATCTAGACCACGTTTCCCTAGTTTTCTTTTGAGTATGTCATGGAATTGTGCCAAAAGCCTTATTAAAATCAAGATATATCACATCCACAGCCTGATCCAGCTTGAAGTGGGGTCATAGGAAATGTAAGGTACTTACTAGTAACTGGAGTGCTTCAAGATGTACTCTGTATATTCACACTCTTGGTGCTATGCCGATCCAGTGCAGCTAGGATGGTGGAACCTTCTAGTAACAGTGCCTATTAGAGGGACATGGCTACAGGAGAGGCATTGGTGCCATTGCTGCCTGAGTTCCTTCCAAATGCTAATGCAGAATACCAAGTAAAGATACAATT